CAGGAAACTGCTTTCTTCGGAAATTGAACAAAGTTGTCATATGGTGAAAATGAAATTCTCAATATGTAAACTTTATCATTCATAGCTTTTCAAGTTATGACTTCTCATATATACTTGCTTTTCGAATATGGTTATGACCAATCACGTTCTAAAACGTGTGCATGATTAATATTCCTTAATAACATTATTAGGGCTCTAATATTCAAATGGATGACATGGTTGGGCAATCCAGCCAATGAAGCGCTATTAAATTTTTTGACAGTGTACATATCAACATGGAAGGTAGTACCAGTGAGCGAATGAATAATATTAATTGAATGAATATATGTAACTCATAGGTCATCGATCAACGATACCATGTAGTTACTCATGATGTTTCTCGGTGTAAGGTCTAGAATCTTAAAACAATCCTCGTGAATCATCACAGCTTCATCCCATATAATCAAAGACGTGGCATGCAACAATTTTGCCTTCACACTTCCTTGATGAATATTGAAGGTAGTGCAACAATATTTATGGAAATATTGGATATTAAATGATGAGTTCAAATTAGCTTTAAAAGTATATATTTAGAAGACATGGATGAATTTTATTTAATATATATGACCAATAATTACTTGCACCGTGCATTTTCTACAAAATTTTAGATCTTAATGTGCTTGTGTGATTCCATTTATTGAAATAGAATGACACAAAATCAATATATATATATATATATATATATATATATATTATCTCCGTTCCTATATAATTTCAATGTGTTGATTTTTACACTAATTACATGTCCTAATTTGACTATATTTTATTTACTAATGTATTGGACATTTTTGAAAAATATTGTTCAATTCCTCTCAATTTAAATTTCCAAAATTCTTTTTTTTTTTAATTTTTTTTTACTTATAGCGAATTATATACATTAATAATCAAAGTAGCGTGTTGACAATAGTGAAAATGGAAGTGTTGTAGCTAACAAAGAGCAGATTAAATATATGGAGAAAATCGCAATTTCAGTCGCTGAAATAGTCACAATATTAAAATGTCAGACCCTTATTCCCGAGATTGTAAATGTCACCCCGCAATTGTTCAAATTGCTATAAATGTGGTCCTTTGAGGGTTGAAATGTACTCCCCACCCACATTGTACATTTCACCCTTGAAAGGACCACATTTACAACAATTTGGAGGGGTGACATTTACAAACTCGGAAATACGAGTCTGACATTTCAATATGGTAACTATTTCAGAGACTAAAAATGCGCTTTCCCCAAATATATGATAATGAAACTTTTCGGGAGCACACAGTGTGCCATGTCATTATTATATACTTCTAATTAATTCAATATAATTAATTTTTTAATATGTGTTAGGAAATACTGATCCCATATTTTTATGGAGAAAATAAAAGTATAGATAAATACTCACTCTGTCTCATAAAGGTTCACCAAATTGAATTTTCTTAGTCAATTGTAATTAACTTTGACTAATGATATTTTTTAATACGAAACTATTTAGAATATGAAAATTATATCATAATGTTCATTATTCAAAATATTTTATGGCAAGACGATGTTTATTATATCAATTACTCGTATTTAATTTCTTGAAATTTCTTTTTACATTCAATGATCTCATTAATAATGGGTAAAATAATCAAAATTCAAAATTCAAAACGTTGAATGTCAAATACGAACAATCTATTCAAAATGTCAAATTTAATGACAATCTATTTGCTCTACTCATCATCATTACCCTGCCGCAAAGGCTCCCCACCTACGGTGGGTTGAGATGTCCATATTTGATAAAACATCAAATTTATCTCCATCACTTTACTTATTTTTTATTTATTATTATTATTATTACTATATTACTATTATTATTGTTATTTTTATCATTGTTGTTTTTGTTGTTTTTATTTATTATCTCCATCACTTTACTTATTTTTTATTTGTATATTTATTTCTTTATTTCTTTAATTTATTCGTATAATTATTCATTTATTCAATTATATACATTTATTCATTTGTTCACTTAATTCTTTATTGATTTATTTATTTATTTTATTCATTTATTTATATATTCATTAATGTAGTAAATTAATTAATTATGCATTTAATTATTCATTCATTGATTAAATAATTTGTTTGTTTATTTGTGTATTCTTTTTATTGTTGATATTGAATTGATAAAGTAAAATAAGAATGATTTAGAACCACACAAATTTCATCAAATTTGATATGAAACAATTTCAGTAGTATGAATCAAAAAGAAAAGATGAGACAATTTCTACGGAGTGAGTATATCTTTAAAATATAATAAGTGCTTAGTAAAATATTGGACATTTAAGTTGTGGGACTAATAAGACTTTAAGAGACGTACACTAAGCTCTTTTCACTTGCGATCGAGATAATGTTGAGGGATAGATGGCAATGAAGAAGCAGGGTGAGGGTGGACTTTCTAACTGAGTGATATGGTAGTAATAGTTTAAGAGAACTAAGAAAAGAAATCATTTGGTGGAACGGTGGGAGTTCTATATTTGATACTATGTGTGATGCCAAGACAAGTATGTATATGCACTTTAAAAAGAAAGTTAAAAAATGCAGACATAACTCACATAAGTGGTCTTGTTCCCATGCAATGCATGCAGAGTAGAGAGATGCATCTTCTTCTCTCTCACACACTCACAAACTAGAGTTGGTGACTGTGTCCACCTTGTCACACCCCTGAAGAGGGAGCTTCTCTTGCCTGGCCCAAGTGGCGGAGATTCAGAACTGTACGTGGGTTATGCTTTTCTGTTTCCGAGATCGTTCCGAACGGGTTCAGAATGGGTGTGGCTCGTTCCGATAGAACCTCAGTACCATTATATTGCCGGAAGATGGAAAGGAAGGACGAGGAAATGGGACATCTTTTTCATCATCCCAAACAAAACACACACTTCATCTTGATCGACGATCAAAACACACTCGAAAATTTTCATCAAAAAATTACTCCGGGAACCGCTCCAAATGACGATGACTGGAGAGAGCCTTTTATATAACAGCTTATTTGACCTTTTTGTGTAAGTTCGAGGGCCTATGTGACCCTTTTCTCAAAAAAATTAGATCCTCAATGCATAAAACACTTAACCAAAGGGTGATTCTGTAATCTAGCTCAAACACTTAAACTAATTTTTATTAACTAATACTACCTCCGTCCACAAAAGGTTTGCCATATATTGATTTTTTTTATGAATGATGGCAAACGTAACGTTGGACATTGATTTTAATTATGTTGTACTTCGTATTATATTTGTATATAATTTATACGTAGTAATTGTTATACTTTTATGAAAGTAATCCGGAGTATATTTGTATATTTTAACACTCTCTCCGTCCCACTAACATTGTCCCATATTTTCTTTTCGGAAAATCGATTATCCCATATGAAAATCATTTTTTACATTATTCTTATTTTATCAATTCAAATTCAATCACACAAATTCACTTTACTTAATAACCGTGTCACCTCTTCATGTCTCGATGATAGTGTCACTTTCTTACATGTCTCATTATTTTTAATTTTGTATTAAAAATATCATTCATTAAAGTTGTTTACTACTACCTCCGTTCTTAAATAAATGCAACTCTTTGACTTTTACACTATTCACATGTTCTACTTTGACTACGTTTTATTTATTAATGTAACAATATTATTTTATGAAAAAAATATTGTTAAACTTGTCTCATTGTAAATTTTCATTATCTAATTTTTTTAATTTTTTTACTAATACAAAATCATTTATATTAATGGTCAAAGTTGTGTCTCGGCAAGTGTGAAATTTTGACCGTTGCATTTATTTAAGAAGTGTCAATTTGTAAAATCTTTTTGGACAAGAGTAAGACATAACTGCTGCTTTGAACTTTGTTGGTGTGTTCATACTTGAGATTACGATAATGTAATTCAGTGGGTCCTATATGCATGCAATATGCCCTTTACGAGAACGTAATTCAATCCCCCGGACCCACACCCACACATGTTTAGCACTCTTCAGTCTTCACTCACTACACTCCCCATCCCCAGCCAAACAACTTGTGTATATATCCATCTTCAGTCTCCTTGGCCGGGAACCAGTGGTGATAACTGATAATCAAGGAAAGACAGAGAGGTTGTAGAATCTTGATCGAGATTAAGTGTGTGTTTCTTGTTTGAGTTGATGAAAAAGATGTCTTCTCCTTGTCCTTCTTTTCCATCTTCTGTCAATGAGAATAATGAGCTTGTTCTGCCGGAATCAGCCACAGCCAATCCGAATCCGGCCAAACCCGTTCCCAAACGATCCCGGAAACAGAAAAGCATAGCCCACAGTTCTGATTCTCCGGGACGTGGGCCAGGCAAGAGAAGCTCCCTCTTCAGGGGTGTAACAAGGTGGACACACTTACCAACTCTAGTGTTTGATTGTGTGATGTTTTTTTTCTTATATGCTCTGCCAGTGTGTGTTTCGGTGTGTATTTTTAACTTTCTTTTTAAAATTTTAGGCTCAGATTGAGGGACAGATATGAAGCTCACTATTGGGACAAGAGTCCTCAGAATAGCAGTGCCAGCAACAAAAGTAGACAAAGTGATTAGATTCAATCCCAGACTTTTCCTAAATCAATTACTCCTTGTAAAAGTTTAAGTATATGGGATGTGATGATCTATGTTCTGTTTGCAGTTTCTTATTGTTTTTTACCTTGAGTAGTCACTTGGTTTATGTACTTATCAAGTTTCTTTCTTTTCTCATGATCATTGACATCTGCAACCTATCCCTATTGCCATACATTAGTTTACTTGGGTAAGCATTTCTTTGAACCGGGAAAGAAAGACATTATTATTAGTGTTTTCAAAATATACTCAAAAAATTTTGAACTGAGAACATGGTGATATTTGTTTCTGAAATGGAATGAAGGGGCATATGACAGTGAAGAAGCTGCTGCAAGAACCTATGATCTTGCTGCTCTTAAGTACAGGGGGGCAGGGCCAGGCACTACTCTCAATTTTCCGGTATGGTGTCATTATCATCTTTTGACATCTTTTTGGTATATGGAGTATACTCAGTTAGTCAATTACCACCAATAATGACATATTTTCTGCAGATTGAGAGCTACACCAAAGAGCTCGAGGAAATGCGGAATCTGTCAAAGGAGGAGTTTTTAGCCTCACTTAAGCGCCAGAGTACAGGGTTTTCTCGAGGTACTTCGAAGTACCGTGGGGTTTCAAGGTAAACACCATAAAAATAAAACAATAAAGTGCCATATCGATCCTTGGTTACTCATTATCGGTTTATTGTATTATGTTGGCTTCTAAGAATGTTACTATAATTACTGATTGAGTTGAACATTTGAACTTTCACAGGCACCACCACAACCGTTGGGAGGCTCGAATTAACTCAGCCACAGGCACCAAGTATCTTTACTTGGGAGTTTTCGGTATGCTTTTCTGTTTATCTATCATCTATTCATTTGTAAATTAGTATACTCTATGTTTCTCATAGTTTAGTTTGCATTTGCTAAACTACTTTCTAATTTCTATATGAGTAGCTTGTGAACATCATTTTCTGATTGATCACACTGTTTGAAACTTTAGGCCCACTTTCTCCTCTCCTGTCATGGTTAGAAATCTGCTAAAAAGTGTCTGTCATATAGGAATAAGTTATTTTTTTATGTAGACCAGGTTCCATTTATTTCTATATCAAACCTTTTTCTGATCCTAAAAGCAGAAGTAGAAGTAATATTGACCATTGTGGGCAGCAGTCTTTGAGAATAGGACATTTTTTAGTTTGACAAAACTTTGTTCAGTAAAGCTTTGCTTATTATTCATATGAATAAACTAAAAAGGTGGCAACATTAGTTTAAGAAACTAAACTATATTTTGGGACATTGGAAAGAGAAGTGAACAGATTGTATATACTTATTTGGGGGCAATTGTCAGTTTAGTTTTCATGCATAACAAACTACAGAAGTATTTGTTTGCATAACAAATAAGAACAGCAAGATCAGAATTTGTTAAAGCATTTGAGAATGATGAGTTAATAATGACTAACACCAACCTAGTCTTAAATTCTATCATAATTAATTATTGATTGCTTAGTAATTGCCATATATGTTTATGATCGATAATTTATTTACTTGCTTTTAATCACTGATGGATGAAGACACTGAAGAGAAAGCAGCAGCAGCATATGACATTGCAGCAATCCAACAGAGAGGGCCAAATGCACTAACCAATTTCGACATCAGCAACTACGCAGATAAGCTCAGGGAAATCCGAGAAGCTCAGTCCAGTGCACAGCCGACCGAGGGTGGCGAAAGCAGCCTCGCCCGGGAAGCACAGCAGCTGCATGATGCCGAAGGTGATCGTCATCATCTTCTTCACAATAACCGCCCAGCCGAATCAGGGCCGGTCCCGGGCCTATGGGGGTAACGCTATTTTGTACTTATATCAATCACAAACAGTAAATCATATTTGGGCAATGAATTTCATAAAATAAAGATGAAAATCACTTTATTACTATAGGACTAAAATTACTTCTAAATCCAATCATAAGAGTATTATATAAAGTTACATATTTGGGCAAAAGTAACAACACGAGTATCAAATAAAAAGAAAAAACATTACTGAAAAAACATTACTTAATGTTTCTCATAGACCAATGCGAAGCAGATCATTAATAATTGTTTCATAGACAACCTTCTTTCCACTAATAAGTATGACAAACAATGAAATTGCCAAATCATTAGTTTCCGGTTCCGGTCCGGTCTGGTCCGGTTTTGGACCGGTGCACACCCCTATATATAACAACAGTAAACTTTCTTTTGAAAGGATAAATGAAAAAATATTACCACTAATAAAGTTGAGAATGATTTATTGACCGCGGATGAGAGTCTAAAGTTTGAAGTCTCAAAAGAATGAGGGTTTTCAAAGAGACAAAATGTTTTGGCGCCAAGAGAACTCGTGCAAGAAGTTTGCAAATTTGACGTTCTCTATAACTATTATTAGGAACACAGATATAGCTTATTGAAATTTGAAAACAAATGGATAATAATTGGAGTGAAATTTGAGAGAAACAAACTCTAAAGTAATTATATAAATTTGTTATGGTATAACTAAATTGAATAAAAAACCTTAAAAGCTAAAAAGATGTGAGGACTAGAGAGATGTCTTTTATTTATGCAGCAATAATTGTATTGCTTTTAAAAACTACAACTGATCCTGCTAAAAATTAATGTATATATTCTGTTTTAAATTTGTCTCTCTTTAAGACTCTTTATTTATGTTTTAAATTTTCAAATTGTCAACAAAATTAATCATTAGGCCTAATTAATTGAACTTAAGAATAAAAAAGAAGCCTACTCACACTATATATAAAGAAAAAAATTTGGGCCTATTTTTTCTTCTATTTTTTTCGGGCCTAGGCGGTCACCCCTCTTGCCCCCCTCAGAACCGGCCCTGAGCCAAATTTACAGAACTACAACCTAATGAAGTCCTAAGGGAAGCGGATTGTGTTTATTCCTCTGCCTTGAATGCCATTGTTTCAGATGAAGAAAGCTTTTTGAACTTCTGGATGAATGCGGCGGTCGACCCATTTCCGGTACCTTATGAGTATGAGGTTGTGCATGAAGCAGCGGAAGCGGGAGATTCGTACTTGCATGATTGCTTCAAAGATGGCAGCAATGAGATTAAGGCTATCTTTCAGGTACGACAGTGATTACAGGGGCGAACCCAAGAAATTCATCTTGTTGTGGGGTGAAAATTATTTTTTGATGAGGCGAAAATTACTTTTCGTATATATATACATTAAAAAAAATTTGTTGCAGAGACGGTAGCCCCTGGGTCTCTAGTCTCTACTACGGTCCGCCCCTCATCGTGAATGAATTGGAAGCTATGACTGATGACGGACTAAACGAGTTTACAACTGATTTACCGCCTCCGGTGGACGGCGACGCCACCAGCAACGGCTGCAGATGAAAATGGACATGGAATTCCTGCAGGCCGGCTTTGATGCTGCTTCAGATTTTTTAAGTAGTTATTATTTTATTAATTTATTTAGGATTGGTTTAATATGTGCAATAGAGGCATATACATGTTTCGTGTATGTAACTTTTTACTGTTGTTAGAGCTGTAAAGCAGGAATACAAAACTCGAAGAAGATGTTCTTAATATGTTTAAAATGTAACATTATGCAAAAAATGAGGAAAAATTGTTTATATATACTTTTTCATATATACTCATATTTATTTTTTTAGTGTTACTCCTCATATTTTTTGTTCTTTAGCCTTTTTTTTTTTTTTTTTAATTTGTTAACTAGGGAGTATATATATAATACTACCTCCGTCCCGCTATGATTGTCCCATTTTACCTTATCGGTCCGTCCCACTAAGATTGTCCCTTACCAAATTTGGTAAAGTTTGTGTGGCTTTAAATCGTTCTTACTTTATTCTTACTTTATCAATTCAATATCAACCACATAAACCACTTTTTATTAATTTGTGTGTCACTCCTTCTTGTCCCATTGTTAGCGGGAGGGAGTACTCCGTAGTAGTTTCATTAGAAATACATTATTTATTATAATAGCTAGTTAGGAACGCAACCATATTTTGAAACTAGTTTGTGAAAACTAGTTTTGGAACTGTTTTCTAGAAAGTGAAAACTTGCTTGTAATGCTTGAATTTTGATTAGAGTATACAGAAGAATTAGAAACAACATAAACTTTTACCTATATGGGAAGAAATTATTTATGAATGAAAATGATAGAGTAATAATTATAATTCTAAACAAAAAGAAAGAGAAAAAGAAGACTTATCGTGTGTTTATGACTAACGTTACCACATTCCCTCAATATCGTTAGATCAGTCTATAATTGGAGTTTTATTTTCTCATTTGCTCCGACGTCTACCTGGATCGGATCATCAAAAATAAAAAAACAAGATATTGTGTAGATATAGAAATGTGATACTACCTCCGTCCCGAAAAGATTCGCCAAATTGACTTTTCTTGGTCAATGATGACGAACTTTGGACAATGATTTTAGGTATTATATTTATATATAATTTATAAATTTTATACTTTTATGAAAGTATTTTGAATAAGGAACATTTTGATATAATTTTCAAATTCTAAATAATTTTATATTAAAAGATATCATTGGTCAAAGTTGATTGTCATTGATCAAGAAAAGTCAATTTGGCGAACCTTTTCGGAATGCAGGGAGTATTAGTGTAAAACTAAGAGACAAATGCTATATATCTCGTGAAATAACAATGAAGAAACACGCACCTTTGTGCTTTGCTAATGAGTTGTGTTTCCCTAGTAAGTGATTAGGAGTAATATCTCAACACAATAATTGTATGGAATAGATCAAATGTGGTTAATATGATAGGTTGCCGATTTCAAGTATCATCATATGTATTAGAAAAGAAAGAAATGTGATGATAAGACAATAAATAGTTCATAAGAAACTAAGTTCTTTAATATAAATCCAAGTTCTTTAAAATAAATAAATAAATAAGAAACTCCATACACAATGTAGATCATTAAATCCAATTTAATTCAATTTTTACAAGGAAAATAAAATGGTTCATTATAAAAATAGAATGAGGTTAAATCATTAATTATTAGTTTAAGAAAAGTCTGGGATTGAATAAGAATTGTAAGTGAACAATAGAAGAAGGGCATTATATAATCACTTTGTCTCCCTTTCATGTTCTCATTGCTATTCGGAAGAATTCTGTTCCATAAGTGAACTTCATATATGCCACTCCATCTATGCCTAAAAATTTTAAAAAAGAAAGTACTAATTCTGGCTCATTAGGCTAACCTCAACCCAGTCCGTCAATAAATCTAATTCCCCTCCAGTTTATACGTATTCACTCGGTCAATTCAGTTTTTCTCTGCAACCCAGCACCGTCAACATATCCACTCCCAACACATTTCTTTTAATTAAAAACATAAATCCTTAGTTATTTTATTACACATCATTTATGTGTTAATTTTATTTTGAACAATAATTATTGTTTAAAAACTCAAACATTCCGATGTAAAAAAATAAAAATGTGTATTTATTTTTTTGTAAGTATTAAATAACAAGTATGATCATCTGCGTACATATTTAACACTTTTAAAATAATAATCATAAAGAGTATCATCTGTTGAAGTAAAAAACAGAAGTTTATATCCATTTTGTGACACAAGGTTACTGAATATTTCATTTTCATGAGATATCTGTATACCCCTTTCTCACTTATAAATCAAATCCGTACAGTTTATGTCTATCAATGTAGCGAAAAAATGACACATAACTGATATTAACACATGTACAAACAGCAAAATCATATATCTAGACAGATATATGAAGTAATCTACGTTTTATTTTAGGTTTTTAATAATCATCACATCTAAACATGAAAACCAGTCTACAACAAAAACCAAACAATTAAATGTTTTAAAGAATACAAAAAATAGGAAACCATATACAAAAGATGATAATTGAATCAGGGAAATACTGAAAATCAAATAACAAATTTAGATATGTATTTATAATTAACAAATTTAGAAATATACCGACAATTGAATCGGAAATGAGACTACAATCTTTCGCACTTCGCAGGTAGAAAACCGACAAAGATGTAATTTCACGCATGTAATTGGGGAATTAACCGAATTCTCTTGCATAAAATCGGAATAACTCTGATGTGAATGAACACATAGAGCATCAGATGAATAGATTATTCTCTTTGGCATATCAAGGAGGATGGTCAAATGTGATATCGTAGAAGGGAGGGTGTAGAGCATCAGTTAACCGATGGCTCTTTGGACAAGGAGACGTATAATGTGGTGGGGACTGGGATAGGAGTTTATATACTTAGGAATTGGGAGGGGTTGACACATATTTAATACTCGTACTTCGTATATATCGTACTACCTCCGTAACACAAAGATCTTCCCATTTTGACTTTTCACGGTCTTCTAAGTTGAACTTTGACTCTAAATATCTACATACCTATATTTATAAAATTCATAATAAATTAACATTCAAATAATATGTTTTACAATGAGGTATATGAAATAATTTTTTAATCATAACATAACGTGAGTTTTGAATAATTAATGGTCAAAGTTTATAAAGTTTGACCCAAAAGACTCAAACTGAGAAGATTTTAGGGTTACGGAGATAGTATTTAATATGTTCGGAATACTTCGTAGGTAGGGTTGGACGATTTAAGTGGAAAGGTTGGTTTGGGTCGAAATTGGGAAAAGTATTTAGAAAAAACCCGGCCCAAACCCAGCTCGAACCCAACTTAAACTTGGCCCAAACCCAGTTCGAACCCGTCTCGAACCCGGCCCGAACCCAGGCCAGTTTTGTGCATATCAATTCGCATCCCTATAATGTAAAAGCTACTACGGTCATATCACTCTCGGGAATCAATAAAATAACGAATGAATGAATGAATGAATGAATGAATGAATGAATGAATGAATGAATGAATGAATGAATGAATGAATGAATGAATGAATGAATGAATGAATGAATGAATGAACGAACGAACGAACGAACGAACGAACGAACGAATGAATGAATGAATGAATATGTAAGTGAATACGCTAATATATAAATAAATGAATAAATAAAAAATAAAAAATTGAAAGAACAAATAAGTAAATCAAGAAGTATGTAAATGAATAAATAAATAGATACATAAATAATAACAAAAACTGAGTATATAATAAATAATACATTAATAAAATAACATATTATTACACAAATAAAAAAATATAATAAATAAATAAGTAACTCAATAAAAAAGTAAAACATAAAAAAGAATAAATCAACAATAAATAAATAATAATTTAATAAGTAAATGAAACAAATTATTAAATAATATAGTGAATAAGTAAATAATGGTATACATAAATACTAAATAAATAATTAAATAAATGAAAGAATAAAAATTGAACAGATAAATGAATGAATAGAATACTAAATAATTAAATAAAAAGTAAATATAATTAAACATATATATAAAATAAATGAATAAAGAAATAAACTAGTAAGATTTCTAAACCATATCTAACATCACATTTTAATATCTACATAATATTTGGTTCTTTAATTTTTGATGATCTAGGCAGCAGTCAAAGCAAGTAAGAAAATAAAACTTCAATTTGAAATCGGGCTAAGGATATTGAGGGAATGTGGTAATGTTGGTCATATGAATACACGATAAGTCTTCTTTTTCTCTTTCTTTTTATTTTCGAATTATAGTTATTGCTAACTCTATTTTATTCATATATTTTTCTTCTTCTATAAGGAAAAGTTTATGTTATTGATAATCCTTCTCTATACTCTAATCAAATTTCCATGCATTAAAAGCTAGTTTTCACTTTCTAGAAAAGTGTTCCAAAATAAAAGGATTAAGAAGGAATGAAAGATTATTTTATTAGTTATATTTTCATCGGGTGGTGTTTTCAAACTTGTGACACAATCTGGTTGCATTCCAAACTGGATACACAGTAATGTATAATAATAATGTTTTTAAAATAAAAGTATTACTATAAATAATAGTTAATAAACTTTAAAATAATTGAAGGCTAAACCACAACATTTTTAATATGAGGAAAATGTAACACTACGTATATAGACATCTCTTCTCATTCTTTTTCATAATGTTACATTTTAATCATACTAACAACATGAAATATGTATATACTGTATTACACGCATTACACAAATCTTTAATAAATTAATAAAATAATGACTTCAAATTTGAAATCACGCAGTCAAACCAAGCGGGTCAACAGTTTTAAAATTCCGAAGCACCATCAAAGCTTGCAGAAATTCCACTTCCATTTCCATCTGCTGCAGTTGCTGGTGGCACCGCCGTTGTCACCGGAGGCGGTATAGCAGTTGTAAAGCCTTTTAGTCCGTCGTCGGCCGTGGCTTCCAATTCACTATCTTACCCGAAAGAAAGCCTTATTCTCATGAGTGTCGTCATTGAAGAAATCAAGCAAGTACGAATCTCCCACTTCCGTCGCTTGATTTACCGCCTCATACTCATAAGTTACAAGAAATGGATCGACCGCCGCATTCATCCAGAACTTCAAAATTCTCTCTTCATCTGCAACTATGCATTCAAGGTGGAAGAATAAGCACAATCCTCTTCCCTCAAGACTTCATTAGGTTGTAGTTCCGTAAAATCCGTTGAGCGGGTGTTGTTGTTGTGAAGTGGAATAAGTTGATCACCTTCTTCATCGGGCAACTGCTCCGCTTCCCCTGCTCGGCGACTTTCATCATCATCACCCTCAATCGGTTGTGCATCAGATTGAGCTTATCGGATTCCCCTGAGCTGATCTGCGTAGTTGCTAATAT